CCCCGCGCCCCTGCGGTTCCCCTACCAGACTTGTGAGCTGCCGGGCGCGGCCCCCCCGGAGCCAGACTACCCCGCCCCCTGTCAGTACCCCATGGACGACGCCCAGCAGGGCGGCGGGGCGCCCGCCTGCCCCCGGAGCCCAGGACTGCAGGAGGAGCCCTCCAGCTACGACGCGCTCGCCCTCGCCGAGTTCCCCGGACTCTTTGACTGCGAGATGCTGGAGGCGGTGGACCCGCAGCACGGCGGCTACGTCCTGGTGAACTAGCCTCGCACGGGAAGTGAGGCGGGTCCACTGGAGGAAGAGCGTGTCTTTTTATTTTTATTCCAGCCTTTTACATTTAAAGCTTATTTTCCTGCCCTATCCCTAAGGGGAAGAAACCAACTTGCCCAACTGGAACTGGAGGGCCTGGCCAGGCTGCTGTCACTTCTTCCTGGCTCTGTCCCCCACAGCCTTCTGTGGCAAGCCCTGGCACATAGCTGTGGGCCGCAGCTCACGCCCTGAGGCCAGGTGGAGCAAGCTCTCAGGGGAGGTGCAGACGTTTTTATAAGAAGACATCCAGACTAGGTCTTACACAGAACTACAGTTACGGAGGGGAACCTTGGTGAACGCAGGAGAAAGGCCTGCCATTGTATGCGGGGGAAAGGAGGCAGTGCTTTCACTGAATCCAGGGACAGCGTGTTGCTTAAAGGCAAATCGAGGACACACAATGAAATCTGATGCACAGGAAACAAAGGAAAGTTGTGCTTTGTCCTTGAAGCATAAATTGTGAGCTGCTGATGCAAGTTGTCCCCAAGACCATCGCAAAGTGGTAGAGTGTGAGCTGTTTCAGGGGCCACTACCTACCAGCTGGTACTAACCCCTGACTGGCACCGTCTCCACCTGGGTGCACGCAGCACACCTCTTCCGAAGGTGCCCGGGTTACAGACTAGAGTACTCGGGGCTCCCACGATGTAGCCCATAGGACCAGCAGGAGATCCACAGAGTGGACGCTGGAGGTGAGGACCTGAGGAGCCAGCAGGAGCACCAGCCCTGGGCCAGGGAAGGTGGGCGCTTCCCACTAACCTGCGTGGAGACTTCTGGGTCAGGCAGTCGGTCTTTAGAGGACCTCATGTCTCTTTTAAAACTATATGTTGCTAGTAGTTTATTGAGCTTTGTGTATTTGGACAGTTCCGTGTAGGGCTTAGAAATGTTAAGAACAAGAAGAGTGAACTTTTCTCTCCCGTGTGAAGTGGTGGTGCCGTGCCTTTTCCCCGGATCATGCTTTAATTCTTTCTTTTCTGTAGAAACCAAGTTTCCGTCCATGTTAATGCTAAATCCAAAGTCACTTCAGTTTGTTTTCCACCATGTGGGAACCGCATTCCTCATTTCCTTAAAGTCTGACCTGTGATGAAATGCTTGAGTATTACAGCAATATTCAAAACCACACGTGTCAACCACGTAAGCAAATCATCTGCCAAACCCACTATTACTAGTAAAACTTGACCCTTACAACTCATTCATCAAAGTAAGTAAAGGACAGATGCTGTGGCCAGTTAACTGTGTACCTAGAAGTAATAAGTCACCTGTCATTTGGACAGTAACATCCATGTGCTACAAATTCAGTATTATTTACGAAGGCTTATTTCTGTCCTTCAGAATGGCTTGTCCTATCAGCAAATGAATGTGTTGAGCACAAGGCATCTTCCTTAAAGCACAAAGAAGAGAGATACCATACTGATGCTGCATCCAGGACACCTGTACGTTGCCTTTCCTCTCTGTAGTGAGGGTCCGGGCAGGTGAGGAGCAGCAGGAAGGTCTGAGTTCTGTTCTGCCCCCGGCCGCCCCTCCGGGCACCGGTAGAGCAGCCCTTGTTCCTGGTTCCACCTGGGCCAGACCCCACACAGGGCCTCTGCATGAGGCGGGACCCTGGGTGTCAGCGAGGAAGGCTGCGGTGGAGGGCATTCCTTTCTGTGAGAGGAACACACGTGAAAACCCACGAGGATGAGTTATGTTCCTTCTGTGGACGGTTTTCCCCTCTCGTGCTTAAGATTGATGATTTCATGAAATAGACACTTCATTTAAGAACTCTTTCCATTAAGATCTCTAATCTGTTTTAAGTCTTTGCAAAAATATGCCAGTTATAAAACAGGGCTTAATTTGTTTAGACTGAAAGATGTTTTCCCAAAATATACTATCAAAGTGCTATAATATTTATGAAATTTAAATCTTTCCATATTGAAAGTCACGGGCCGCTCATCTCAGTCACGGGGTGGCACAGTTACAGATGGGCAGAAACCCCTGCCCCCAACACGACCAGGAGCCCTGCAGCCCAGGAAACCCAGGAGCCATGCAAGATGATCAGGCCCACAGGCGGGGGACAGCAGAGAGGCTGTTGGAAAGCTAAGGGACCCAGAAATAGACCTCGGAAGCACCCAGCAGTGGCCAGGTCCATTAGGGACCGACGAGCGGCGCAGGCACCACCTGGTGTGCAGTGCGAGCTGGCCCGCTGGGCCCGTGGTGTCAGCTCCTGTTTGCTTTTCCTGTGTATTTCAAGCAGAAATCAATAAATTCCATGGCCATCTGCATTCACTGAAATGGAAGCTGGTGAGAGGAGGCTGGTCCTGTGGTCGGTCAGGACTTTTCCCGGCCCTGTCTAGTCATCCCTGCTGCTCTGTCCCCTGATTAGCGACTGTGTGAGCTTCCAAGCAGCTTTCTCCTCACAAACACTAAAGGGACACTAAGAAGGCTGGCCGCCCCCCTCCCCGGCTGCTCTGAGCCGCCTCGGCCCGCTTCCCGTTGCAGTGTGTACACTACTGTATGGCTGTTGTCACCTTGTTATCTGTAAACCAGGCTCCTCGGAAGAGACTGGGTGAGAGGAACATGAGGTAAAAATTTCATTCGGCAAAAAGTGCAATATGTGTGGTACTTTATTGTTTGTTTATGTCCTTTTAATCCAGGGTGTTAGTCTCTGCTCCGGGAGAAATGCACTAGTTCTGCAATTTCCAGTTGGGCAAGAGTGTCTCTGGTTTGTACGTGCAGCTGACGTGCTGGGCTCTGCAAGGCAAACAGCGCACGTTAGCACGGAAAGGGGTGGGTCTGCGCTCACTGCGCCCATCCCGGCGCCCCCCCCCCCAGCCTTGCCCTCCTGCTGCCTTGAGAACAGAGAAGGGACAGGGGTTCTCCTAAGCAGCCACCCTAAAATGTCACTTCATGAGAAACACCCTGGGCCCCGGAGGAGGGCTGGGAAACGGGCTGCAGGACTCTTTGTTCTGGTTTGAACAGAACCCCTCCTTCCTGTGTCAGCCACTTCCCAGCAAAGAGAGTCCCTTCCTCGGAAGTGAACTCCGTGTCTCAGCGGGGCCCTGAGTTGCTTAGCAGCCTGGCAGGAGCCTGGGGCTGAAGTCGGCCCTTCCCCTCAGAGGCCCCAGAGCACCGAGGGCCTGGGCCCTCATTTGGGGAGAGGACCAGCCTGTGGGATTGTCCTCCCGCCGTCCCCAGGCCCCTGCAGAAGGGACTCCTGTCCTGGGGTGCCAGGCTCTCCCACTGCCCCACACTGTGATCAGCACCTGAAGGCTCTTGGAGAAAACCCCTAATCGCAGGGCTGGGAAGAGGGTGTGTTTCCAGCTGGAGAGTGAGCGGGTGGCCAACCAGGCAGTAAGGAAAGGTGAGGAGCAGCCGCTTCCCACCCGGTTGGCCAGGGGTCCGGGGGTGTGGCGGCCAGAGCAGCTGCTGAGGGGCAGGCAGTTCAGACACGTGGAGACGGCGAAACCAGTGGGTTCCTTTGTGGGGCCCTCGGATCCCTAGTGTAGCCCAGGTCCTTCCAAACCAGGGTCTGTATTGGGGTCAGCATTCTCAGCTCCGGATTAATTTAAAAACCTGTATCAACATTTACACTTAAGCTCCCTATTGCTTTAAAGGAAATTCATACTCCAGATAACTTTTTCACATTCCTCCTCCTTTAGAGACGATACATAGTGTCCTTTGGCAACACTGGTCCCAGGAACGGTTGCATAGTTGTGTGCCAGGGCTGACCTTGGCCGCGCCTGGACCCCCTAAGCTGGGCTACCTCTGCTGCCTCCTGGAAGCCACCTGAGCCGCTTGCTCTCTTTGTGCCTAGACAGCAAAGGTCAAAACTGGAGAACAGGCAGTAAGTTGGGGGTCATTGTATAGGCGGCGATATTGGATCATTTTGTTGCTTCTGGAAATTTTTACAGAGCTTATCTTCAGAGTGATGTATGAAGACCAGCAGTGTCTGCCTCTGTTTCTAAGTGTGTATGGCCCTCTAACAGGTTCAGCAGCGTGGCCCCCCCTGGCCTGTGGCCCAGGGAGTGATGAGTTACAGAGCTCTGTCCCGGCCTGTGGCCCCTAGAAGCCCCAAGGTGACACAGGGCAGACCTAAGGCCCTTGTGGCCCCGGATTCCCTGGTCCCACAGTGCCCCTCACGTGCTTACCACTTTCCCCCACTAAGGTCACCTGGCTTGTTCCAGAAGGTTTACAGCCACCCTCGCTAGTTGCATCACCATCTATGTCACATCCCCTGTGGGCAGGTTTCAACACGCGGCAGAACTGGGTGCACATGGTCACACAGATTGAGAAATAGGCAGCGTGGCCCGTAGACTTGGCCAGTGGTGGTCCTGACGTGCCCGCCCAGCGCTCAGCTCCTGTCCAAAGGAGCGCCTGCTTGGGTTTGCCGTTAACTCACCAAGCACTTTCACAGTGGCCTCTTCGCACGGTCACAGTTCTCTGAAACTAGCTGGGCAGGTACAGTTCTCATTTTTATAGCCAAGGAGACCAAAGCTCTCGAAAGTCTGTGGCTCACCAGAGGGCGCAGCTGTCAGTGGAGGAGCCAGACAAGCTCTGGGCTTTCTGGCTCTCACTGCACGTTCCTCCTCATCATGGCAGTTGGTGCTTCATGAGCAAACAGCCGTAGGTACAAAGCCCCCTGTTGGTTAGGGACTGCGTGCGACATTGTCCCCCCAACCTCATTCTCCGCCGACAGCTGCCTGGCTTGGAGGGAGAGGTGCCCTCCAGGAGACCACTGCCTTGCCCAGGTGGCCCTCCTCGGGCAGACGCAGCTAAGGGAGACACGGCCCCGCAGGTGACCCTCCTTCCAGGTCCCGGTTAACTGCAGAAGTTTAGGTTCACATTAAAGACATCTGGTTTCTCCAAGTTACACCACACGGTCACTTCCCACAGAATATATGCTAGAAGGACATGCTCCTCCTTGACCAAGGGGTCAGATGGCTCAGCAGCAGCCCACCGCTGCCGGCCAACAGACTCGGCCCCAAGAAGGGGCCGCTCTGACAAGAGTCTGAACTCAGCCTGGGCCTTGGGAGGGGTGCAGTGTTTTCCATTTAAGGCCCATCAAGTAAAAGTGTGATTAGACACTGTGGTTAAAAAAATAACATACTTTGGTACTTTGTCTTTTCAGAGGCAAAGTGGGCAGGTAGAGGGGAGCTTTAAAAATAGAATAAGAGCATCCTGGAAAAATACGACCGCAGATTAGAATAACGTTACATTAGCAAATACAGGTAACGGGCTTGCCCGGGCTGGGTGAAGCTGGCCTGCAAATCAGCTCAATCGAGGAAATTCAAGCAGTGATACCTCCCCACCCCGATGGTGAATTGCCTCCACCAAAACCCTAATGGGAAACGGAGCAGACAGAACAGGAGCCTGGCTTCCCTCTGGAGCCACTGAAGAAACACAGGGACAGAGGTATTTGCACTGTGCAGGAAGGCAAGGCGACGCGCTTATTTCTGAGAGAGAGGGTCTCTGCTGGAGGTCTGGTCTGTGAAAGAGTTAACTTTTGATAAAGTTCATCTAATTCTGGTTATTTTTAATGTGTGCTTTTTTTAGACTAAGGACTAAGTGGTGAGTTCAACAGCTTTGGTATTTTGAGTACAAATCATAATAGCTTCAATGTGAAAAAATTTTTAAAAATGTAACCTGTCACTCAATGTTAGAAAAGAGCCTAAAATGCAGTTTAATAAATGATCTTTGTATCAAACACTAATTTAAATGGGGTAATTTTCTGCAAGGAAAATATACTGTTTTTACATTTCCAGCACTCTTGAATTAAAATAAAAACAACTTATTTTCTACGAGCCTGGGTGATGTGAGTGTCAGGCGAAGGAAACAGGGCCTTTACCTCATCAGGCCTTGGGTGGATTTTTGAAAGTATGGAAGGTGGCTGTGTTCCCTGAGCTCTGGCGCTCAGTTCAGGCTGCAGCAAAGGACAGTGGATAGTATGTTCTCATTGACGTCAGCAGGGTAAGTAATACCTGGCTCTGAAATGGCCCGAGTACACGTTAGCTGCTGCCGGACGCCGACAGCACGGCTGACCGCAGCCTGCACATGGCCGGGCGGAGAGGCGGGCGCGGCGCAGCCTGGTGCCCGGGACTGGCAGAGGTAGTCTGGCAAGGGCCCCTCAGCAGGAGGAGGGGAGTCAGGGGTGCCCAGCTCCCCGAGGCCAAGCAAGCTTCAGAGCAAGGGCTGGGAACAAGGGGCAGCAAGACCTCTCATTCACAATGGCAGATCTATGGGGCCTGCAAAATGCCTCAGCTCACACCCCAGGGACCCCCACGCAGTGACAGGCCCCGCACAGTGCCCTCAGGTGCTGAAGAATCCTTCTGCCGAGGCACTTGAGGACCCTCTCATACGTTCGGAACTTGCTTCAGTGCCAGACCGGGAGTGAAAGTGCAGTATTAAATCCTAATTTCTGGCAGCCAATTCAATGAAGATTTGGTTTCACTCAAACCATTCCAGTTGAGCCCATGCTATAGAACTGAGTTCCCAAACAAGGGTCATC